TCTTCTATAAATTGTTTGCCCATTTGGTAGTAATCGCCTTTGCACAATCTTTGGGAAACACGATGTTATCAACTCTTTTTGGATCCATTTCAACTAAATAATCCCTCATTCTTTGATCAACGTTTTTCAATTCTCAGGATCATCCAAATTCAAAGAAAAACTGCCCCTTCATCCTTATCATCCACTTCACTTATGGAGACAAGTCTCATTATTTCTTATTCCTTATCATCTACTTCATTCACGTAAGAAGCTTTTATCACTTCTTCATCCTTATCATCTACTTCATTAACACAGCCAGGTAGAATCACTACCTCATCCTCATTCAATTCATTCACATTGTTGCTTTTAAAGTACTTGTCCATATCACCTGCTTGACTTTAAGTCAACAAAAATTCATTTCGTTTCTTTTTTCTCTTCATAGCTCCAGACTCATATTTAGGAAGCATTGTGTATGAGTCTATATCTAATACACAATGATTAGCTTAAAAGATAATTACAAAATATCTCAATCATCTCACAATTAAAGTATCTAATACAGTGACTATGTGCGCCTATGCAATTGATCCTACACGCTACAATTAACATTCATACAAGTTGACCAGGCCACAATTATATAAACTGACAACACTTCAAACANATCTCAATCATCTCACAATTAAAGTATTCAATACAATTGCGCATATGCAATTGATCCTACAGGCTACAATGGACATCCATATAAGCCGATCATGCCACAATTATATAAGTCGACAATGCTTCAAATATTTTTAATATATTCAATATTAAGTTAAAGCAAGCCATTGCTTACTTGATAAGTAGAAAACCGACGAAAATTATGGAATCACACCATATTTCACCGTCGCATCTCACAAGCCTAAAATGAAAAGTTCACATTAACCACGGCACCATCACTCTTTCTTAAACTACGAAATTTACCCTTTTTTATCTATAAAAGGTTACCCCACATGAAATCACATCCTATTCACAACAATCAGATTCACAGTCATTCACAACAATCAGATAAACAACATATCGAATACTATATTATAATCAAGAAATTCTATATTCACATGTACATGGATGACCCAGTACTTTAACAATTAGCCAAACCACATGAAAAGATCTATTCTAATACTAATCTGTGTCAGAGTCAAAAGTTCAAATTTTAGTTAACACGAGTCCAAACTTTCAACAGTTTTTTTTGAATTTTTTTATTTTT